GAAGCATAGGATTTTGTCCTATATTTAGTAACATTTAGTTAAATCATTAAAATAAGTATGCATGTATATTTATTGTTTTAGAAACTCATATTAACTTAGTGCAACAACAAAACCTAACAAATAGTTATGCAGGGGCCATCAATAAACGTTGTTGAGGTGACCAGAAAATATATTTGATCGATTGAAATTTCAACTTGTTTGTAACTGATTCCTGTGAAAATTTACTTACGAATTTCGTTCCGATGACTAAGAAATTTCTCTAAATTCTGGGTCTTAATTTATCAGTCTCGATGCTACGGGGTACTGGTAGCTTAAACTGTGTAACTGCTTTACGTTACTGTAAATACATCCCCAAGTTTTTCGGATAAAATATAGCTTTGATCACTCCTGGCATTGCTCTCTCATCTGTTCGTGAAGTTTTATCATAATCGGTTAGACCATTTCGGCAGGCAACTAACAGACGGATAGACAAAAAATTTAGAAATGGTTATTAATATCTTAATGTCATGCTATAGCCCCCTGAGCTCTATTAAAGTTATTTTGATATCACCGACTGATATTTCAATTTTCTTGATATGTTAAAATACAAGAAATTTAAAATACACGATATGCATTATACATTGCAAAATATACATAATACGATAAAACACAAAAATAATAACATCAGATAAATACATGAAAAGCGTGCCAAAAGGTTGACGATCCCGTGACTTCCGTTCGCAGGCTGGAGTTTGAAAAAGCGAGCGTCTAAGGAGGCGAGGCGCGGCGCGGGGGCGCCATATTTTAAGATGGCTTCCGAGCGCGAATATCGACGCGCCGACACCCGCCCGCGCCCATTTAGCGTCGTAATTTTGTCGGCACTGATTTGAGAATAGTTTCAGTTTAGTTTTTCATTTCGGAAAGTTATTTTCGCACTTTTTTACAGGTTTTGTTACAGAGATAATCTTAATACTCATTTCATAACGTTATTCGTAAGGTTTATTAAATATCAATCATTATGAAATACTTAGTATTACCGGGAAATAGGTGACTAATACTTAGTATTTGTCAAGTATTTGTCACCTATTTCCCGGTAGAAAATGTATGATCAATCCAGCCATAAAGGCTGGATTGTTCTTACGTTTTCTAGTGATTACTTTTTAGGCGAAATGTCCCACTAACATTAAATTCCTTGGATCTTTGAGAGTAGATGTAGATGTCTATATCTGCGGTATCCATTTAACATCTGGTGAACTGTGTGTTCCTCTGTCACCCTTAAACCCTTTAGGTATTACGTGATATTTTGTTTAGCAAAAAATTCTATTGATAATCGATATCCTAAACGTATTTTAGAATATTGTCTAGAGATTTTGGTTTTACCCCTTATACTTACTATATTATAATAATATCATTTGTTTTCACCAAACTTATTCTTACTGTCCGGAATCCCGACCGCTACTTTTCCACGTTCTTACTATAAGGCAAAATCACACGTTAATTTATATAATGTGATCAAATAGAAGCAAGTTGAATCACCGAAGCACAGGCCCTATGCGGTTATGCCTTAAGCAATCTATACTAAAGTCGTTAGATACAGGTCATTCAGGACTATTTTTAGTGTCACTTTCGTGAATTTTTACACATTCAAGCGACCTCAGTATTTGATATTAACTTTTTGATACCTCTACCCGTTTCTGAGAAAAAGAGCCTTGGCATAATGGCAGAAAGATGAACAGACAACAAAGTGATCTTATAAGAGTCCCATTTATTCCTTTTGAGTTATGGAACCCTAAAATTGCTGGAATATTGGGAGATCACTAACTAAATCACACAAAATAAATAATATGTTAAGAAATGACTCTCGCTCTTAGAGTACGTACATCAGTGTGACATCACATGCAAACTTCACCAATATAATCATAGTAAAGTTACAGCTTATATACGTCCTACTGTTGGGCATGGGCACATGCCTCTTTTAATTTCTGAGAGGGTTTTAGGCCAAGAAAATGTCCACCGCGCTGCCCCAATGCGTTTTAGCGAACTTAAAATGTCTTCGAAATATTTTTTTGTTATTTCTCAGCCATGCAGATTTCCTCACGATGTTTTCCTTCACCGCCAATCATGTGGTAAATCCGCATTTAAAATTGCATTAACAATTTCATTGGTGCCGGTGGGGATCGAACCTGGGTTACTTGCGTATTGTGACATTTACAGCGTGCGTTTAGCCCTGACCTAGCGCAGCTCATATAACAATATATTCATATATCATATTATAAAACTACAATCATAAATTAAGAATAAATAAACTGGAAAGGCAATAAAGTGTTTACTGCTTCCAATTTATAATATATTATTGTCTACAGTTATAAGTTATAGTATATTAGTTGCGCAACTGGAACTTTATTGAACAGTTACAGAGTTAATACAAACTTTAGTAAATAGTAAATAATATTTTTATCCGGCTAATTATATCACAATACAACTTTAGTAAATAATAAATAATATTTTTATTCGGCTAATTATATCACAATACAACTTTAGTAAATAGTAATAATATTTTCTTCGGCTAATTATATCACAATATAACTTTAGTAAATAGTAAATAATATTTTTATTCCGCTAATTATATCACAATACAACTTTAGTAAATAGTAAATAATATTTTTATTCGGCTAATTATATCACAATACAACTTTAGTAAATAGTAAATAATATTTTTATTCGGCTAATTATATCACAATACAACTTTAGTAAATAGTAAATAATATTTTTATTCGGCTAATTATATCACAATACAACTTTTTATTCCCTTAATTATATGGCGCCGCGACGCATTGGCTGAGCCTCGAGTTGCGATTGTGAGTGTTGCGGGTTCGCATCCCACACGTAATAAGAAGTGTTTGTATAGATTACATTAAAAAAAAAAAACAAAAATAAAAACAATTATAAAAGTATCAGATGTCTAGCAATTTTGACGCAGGTTCCATAAACTTTATAAGATCAGTTTGTTGTCCGTTCATCCGTCTCCCGGTCCGTCCCCGATCTCACCGGTCTAGACATGTTACTCCTAGCGTAAAAGAAATGGTTTTATCGCCATCTTTCTGGAAAAGTGGCGACTGTGGAATAGAGAGTCGTCACTTGTGACATGCATGGGACTAAATAGAAACAGAATAAAAAACTTCTTTATTCAATATAGATTATAAATAATACTTATTGAAAGTCACTTTTTTAATTTACCACTGGTTCGGAAAAAACCTCTGTCTTGGGAAGAACCAGAAAGAAACCCAGCGGGACTTTAAAAAAAAATAACAGCTTACAATCACGTATACTACAATTAACAACACATAACAAATTAGAAATAGCTTGGTAGCGATCACCCTTCACGGGGATTATTGTAATCCATAAATTCCTTAATATTATAATAACCCTTTTTATACAAACTTAGTTTATTAATGATTTTGAACTTTGTGCATGTCAATTTTTGTAAATTTTCTGGGATTTTGTTTATAAGAGCGAGTGTATACATCGGCTCAAAAATTAATTATTGACTCGATGGATTCGAATAACTGGTGCTATAGCTTGTGTTTGTTCATAGTATTTACAAAATGAATATCTTGAGGAGTGACAGATTCCCTTATACCGACATTCCACGGCAAATTATGTCCTATGAAAAGTCCACAGCTGAACATAGACCTTCTCCATCATAATTATCATCATAGAATATTATAATACATAATAGAATGGTTGACAACCTTATTTTGACAACCATTCTATTATGTATTATTTATTATGATATTATGATTCCCGTAACACGGGTCTCCGGTTCTCTACAGTCACCATATGAAACACACCAGCATTAAGCTGTTATATTACGCTGGTATTCTGTGAAAAGAATTAAAGAGTTTGCTCGTGTCGGTAAAAAGTATACAAAATCTAGATTAATAATAAGGTTAAAATAGGAAACTGACCAAATACTGCTGCAAAACTTTGGACATCCAAAAAGATGAAGCTTGTAACTTGTAATAATAACAGGTGAAATACTTAAGAAAATGTTTTTTTTTAATGTACCATTTTATTCCGATTCTGAGCTCTGTTCCTAATTTCAAGTCTTCCAGGTTTAAAAACACCAAGTATAAATTCGGGTAATAAGAGTCCTGTGGCAAAGAGATCCAAAGTGGCTGTACTGCATGACGAGATGAAACATATGTTTGAAATCGTCTTGAGTAAGATCTAAGATTGAGAAGCAGTGTGAGAGAAAGGGGGGAAGAAAGTCAAGTGAAGACGGGAAACAGTCAGATAGTCAGTTAGAGTACTCTAGTGATGACACTCGTTCAGCAGGGTTAGAGAACCGGACTCCGCAAGTAATGGAAGACTTACGCTTCGCGTACATCTAATCCGTTATCGGCCGAAGTTTGCTCGGGCGATGACAGATGAACTCGGACGATCGAATCAAACACTTGTAAAACAAAGAGAGCGCTTACACAAACACGACCGTTATCGTCCAATAACGCACGAAAACGGCCGATCAACCGTCGAGTCCGAACTTGTTGGGATTTCTCGCCCGACTGCCGGCGTCTACAGTGCAAATTGAGTGTATTTATAGTTTAATTTAATCATTTCGTCTTTATTCTGTTGTTTCTATCAGTTTTGTAATCTACCTAAACGACTATGGATATTCAAAATATAAAAATAGAAAATAATACCGGCAACATCCAATGTCGGCACAAGTGGTACACTGTTGCAGTGTAAGCACATACACGTCCAAGTTACCCGTCCGGGTAGTTCAGTCCGCCATCGGCCGACAAAATCGGTTTTGGTGTAAACGCAACATTACCGAAGGAACCGGTGAATGACCTTGAAACTTTGTTTTTTAACTCATCAGGAAGTTTAAATCAATTACTAATTTCAACTTGAACAGACATACACAAAGCGAGTTAATAAAAACGTGATAATAAAAATACAAATTCGGATTGATATAGGAAGAGTGAAAAATAGTTTTAAAATTAAAATTAAATTTAAAATTATCTAGACGAGCCTTTTTTTAACTGTGGTCGTTTCTTTGATGAGGCATTAAGATTGCCCTTAATACCCATTTCCAAAATGGTTTCAATCTCCTTTAACTCATCACACAGTACAGGCAAATTGTTACCGTCTATTGACACATAAATCAATCCGCGAGGCTTCATATCTACTTTTTTTTGATAAGTGAGAACATTGAGAAGTTTCTTTAAAAAAATATAGCTCAAATCATTAAAAGCTAGATTCAAATAACTCAATGTATTGTTGCCGATGCAGTACATAGCTTCATCTTTAACACAGGTATTGTTCGAGAAAAATGGATCTGTAAAGTCTCCTAAAGATGTCTGGACTATAGATAAGGCTTTATCATATAGAATTGCATGAGAGCTATCAATAATGCTTGCAGTCGTCTCAGGAACAGAGTGTAAAAATCCTTCTCTTTCGTTTCCCTTTGCTTTCTTTTTTAAGGTGGTTGGGACCGACAGTGCAGGCTTTTTTTTCGCTGGTGCTTTTCCTAAATCTCCAACCCTTAACTCTTTTACTGTGTTATCTATTAAATCATTTTTAATCTTTAAAAACGATAGATAACGAGCTCTAGATGCCAAAATTTCTTCAGGTGTCAAACAAAACTCTTGTAAACTACCCAATAATTCAATAGCACCATCATCTGTTATTCTATTATCAGATAAATTGAGATAAATTAAGCATCGGTTGGAACGTAAAACATTTGCCAAACATTTTGCGCCAATGTCAGTAATTCTATTTGATGCCAGATTGAGTACAGATAAGAATTTTGAAGCTGGGTTCGGATATGTAAGCTTAGTAGCAATGTTTTGTAAAACATCATTTTCAATCTTACATCTACATAAAGATAAGTGACGTAATACTGATTTATTTTCTAGTAAAATATCATAGTTGTCTAAACAGCAACCATCCAGGCAAACATCAGTAATGTTCGATATGACAAGAATTTTTTTTAATTCATATATTGTATATAGATCGGCTCCTTGATTGATTATAACAGAATTTAATTGTGGATGAAATTTGATGATCAAACCAATAATTTTGACTACAATGCGCGGTATATGCTTATTTTTTTCGAAAGATATTTGAACTAAATCTTCATTATTATCGAGAACAGTAACAATATGGACAATATCTTCAGCGGAACTGACTTTGTGTATAATAACCTTTTTATCTTCTCTATCTGACAAGGCATCGGTTTTCGAAAGAATTGCTTTTGGTCTGGTTTTACTTCTTGATTTGCTACGGATACTTAGACCGGAACTTGTGTAATCATCTAAAATTACATTATAACGTTTAGATAATCACCTAAAGTACATTATGATGTGTCAGCTCCTTAGCGTAGTGACTTGCAATGAGTTGCAGCGCTAAGGACCACGGGTTCGAATCCCACACGGGAAAAGTATTGGTATGGTCTACAAGTAATTGTTCTGAGTCTGGATGTTTGTCCTTGTGTAAAATGCCTCCACGATACAGGGAAAAATCCTAGTGTAGAGGCAACGTTTTCTTTAAAAAAAAAACGTTTTGTATAAATCATAATTAAATGCTTTAATCAATCAGCTGTATTATATGCATAGAATTATTATACTACTGCGTATGGACCGGGTCATAGAACAAACAAAATTGCACCTAGTGTTTGGTACGAAAATGTTTATGGAGCACCAATGTGAGCACTAATGCGTGCCGTGCGTTTTGGATAATTTGAGGTAAAATCGAACTTCTGGCAACCCTGTCTTTTATACCCACCCAATGTAATTTTTTTAAGATTTATCGAAGGGGATAGGGTCAAAAGACTGAGAAAAGTGTAGAATGAAAAAGTTTTTCCTTCTGTATGATATCGGAAAAATGGTATAATATTTTATTTAGTTACATATTCGTTATCAATATGAGAAGTGTTATTATAATATGAAAATGAGAATGTCTTCTTCATCACAAAACTCAAGATTCTTATCGTGAAATGATATTGTAATCTTGCAATGGTGTTTTTTTTAAAATTGAAAATTAGGTGCATGTGCAGGTGCAAAATAGCCTTATTTAAGGCTATTTCGATTTTTTTACGATAATTTAGGGAGTATTTCTACAGGTTCTCGGGTAAAACCAAAATTATAAGTGGAAACACTAGTTCCGTGGTAGTTTATGAGTATCTAAGAGATATTATGAGTATCTAAGAGATAGATTTATTTTATGCTTAAACCGTGAAAAAAATCATATTATGTGTTATTTTTTTATCATGACATCAGAAGATAAATGTCTAGACGGCGTGATGAAGGGTAGTAAAGTTCTAAAAAAGATACAGTTTTGATATATAGCAGCGTCATCCTGACAATACCTCAAAATAAAAACTGCGTTTATCAACTCGCCTGTCAAAGGTTGCAACTACGGCAAATATTCCTCCTGTTAGGCAATATGTAGGGAGACCTGTGTGATGCAATAGACTTTAAAAGGCTGTAAGAAATGATCGAAACAACCGAAGTGAATGCTACAGGACACTATATACTTTATTAGTTCTTGTTTCTTTTTAAACACTTATTGTTTGTGACAAACGAGCACATAGTCCACCTGATAGTAAGTGGATGCTATGGCCCATAGACATCTACATTTATCATCGATTAAGAATCAAAACACAGATGCGTTATCACCCCTGAGAACTAAGATGGAATGCCTCGTTTTCAGTACAAAAAGATCTCTGTATCTCTACAGTTACCATACGAAACACAGAAGTATTAAGCTGCTATTTTACGCTAGTATACTGTGAGAGCGTGGTCCTTCCCTGGTCGAGCTGACCCATTCGTGCTACTGTCACAATATAGCTGCAGCGTGGCTCTACCACGTATAAAAGATGGTCTTATAGTCTTACTTCAATTCCAAGAACAACAAGAGGATCGATCTCATGTTGCTTGCGTGCTACAGAAATTGAGGCAAATTGAGGAAATATATTAATAATACTTGCATGTCAAGACTTACTCTGGTAGACTTTTGATATTATCACATTATACTCTGATTCAAGTTGACAGCAAGCCCAGGGTAGAAAGGCGATGAAGTCATCAGGTGAAGGTCGAATGTTCGTCTCAATTGACTCGTCCATTACACTAGTCTTCTCCATACCGCACGTATTATTTAACTGCTTCTAAATATCGGTTACCAAAATAACCTTAGTAGAAAGTTTTCTTTAGCAACGTCAAACATATGACATGTGACATAGTTGACGTTTGCTTTTTTAGTTATGTAGGTTGTGAACGCACGAGGAATTTATTTTGAGTCTGTGTTTAGTATGTTATTGATTTAGTATGAAGGACACACACAACCGTATCCGGGAGCACGGTAGTGCCCCTGCCAAGACGAGCCAACCAAAAAAAAAACGAAGCAGTACCTATCTTTTCTCGAAGCACTCCGTTTTGAACCCTCATAACTTGGATTTGAATTATATCAGATAAAAAGATTCTCAGATCAGATATGATGACATTAGTGGACTTATTAAACATATACATTTTTAAATGCATAGCTCTTTATACTTTCGATTTTATTGATATCTAAAAAAACACCGATTTCGACACTGACTCACTAACTGATGATCATCAAAAATTATTAGGGTACTTCCTGAAGTCTTAAGGTTGAAATTTGATATATAAGCTGGTATACCTACACTAACTACAAAAAAAATTCTAAGACTTGGAACTTTTACCCACGAACCACTTAAACTAGGGGATGGTACGATACTTTTTGCAGATTTTGATGCTAGAGGTCTGTAAATTGATATAGGGATTCTTTGTTACTACTTGTTATAAATAATAATAATAAAATACATATTTAAGGATTTTAGTAAATCACCCCCCGCCCTTTGAATTAGGGGATTGAAAGTTTGTATATAAGTATTCCTATAAAAGATTAATGTTATGCTAGAGATCAGAAAATTATACAAATACACACAGACTTATTACAAATAAAAAAATCGTGTTTAAGTTTTTTTTTAAATCATCCCTCAACTCTTTAAATTAGGAGATAAAAGTGTATATGGGGCTTTGTCATAAACAACTTTCAAAAAGAAGTGAAATTCCACTATAACCATTTTTATGTAAAATGTTGTCAAGACGAGACCATATAGCTCGCACTGTCAAAAACTTATCAGATCTCATGTAGAGCCAAGCATCTTATTCTACACGCCCTAACTCTACAAGCCCTAACTTCACAAACTCTACACCTTTATTAAAATATCTGGCTTTGTAGTGGGATTATAATATATAATTTATTTATTTATTTTATTCAAAGCCAACAAAGTATATCTTAATTTCTAGGATACAAACACATTAGGATACAGCTTAACAATAAATAAAATTTAGTGAACATCTATACAATTAGTGATATAATATAATAATATTTATAATATAAATATAATCTATACAATTTAGTGAACATATCTACCCACAACAGTTGTGTTATAACTATACATTAAACTAAACAAAGCATTAGTAATTACTTTGTCAATAACTTCTTATCAGATTATAAAGCTAGGTTAAATTAATTATTATATTTAAAAAAAAATTATGTTTGTTACGTTTAATATAGTTTTTAAGTTAAAATAAAGGTATTGTAAAAAATAACACTTAATAAAAATTAAAAATTTACTTTATTTACGTAGTAATATATATTATATATATATATATATATATATATATATATATATATATATATATATATATATATATATATATATATATATAGTAAAGGAAGGTTATTTGGTGAAAAAGGCAATTTGGTGATAGACTTTAAGTCTTTCACGACGTTTTGTATTTGAGTAGAATTGAGACGAACATTCGATCTTCACCTGATGATTTCATCGCCTTCTTAGTAGTCGATTGTTAAATTCTTTTTTTTTAGTTTTTTTTAAAGGTTACGTATCGTGGGGGCAGTTTACAAACATACATTTTACAAGGACAGACATCCGGACCCAGTACGATTACTTGTAAGCCATACAAATACTTGTTCCGTGCGGGATTCGAACCCACGGCCATTAGCGCTGTAACTCATTACTAAACCACCACGCCATGGAGTAGCTTACCCTATTTTCTAGCCCTGAGCTAGAACTAGAATCAGAGTATAATGTGATAATATCTAAAGTCTACCAGAGTTAGTCTTGTTAAGCAAGCATTATTAATATATTTCGTCATCGATTCTCTTGTTTTTCTTGAAATTAAAGTAAGACCAATATACCAATAACTAGTAGAGAATATGTGTTTTGTAGTTTAGCATTTACAACAGTTGTTTCATTCATTGCTTACAGTCTTTCAAAGCCTATCGCATCACATAAGTCTCCCCATGCGTCACTGCGTCTCTTTCGCTCTTGCGGCAAACTGCTTACATCATTTCGCTTCACTGCGCCTACACCTATGCGACGTGAAAAACTTTTAAAAGTCTATCACCAAATTGCCTTAAGAACACGTATTCTATACGGCACACTGTATCACTGGGTAGTAAATGTGCTGTAAACTTTCTTTCTTTTTTTCGTCTTCTTCATCAGCCCGTGAAATTCAGCTGCATATAGGCTTCTCCCATTGTATGAACATTGGGACAATCGCAATTTAACACATTGATTCCTGTCTCCGGTCTATATTTATGGGTATATATTTTTACGACTGCCGTTACCAGATGGCTATACTTGATTTCTATCGTGAGCCTTAAGATCTTTTTGGAATATCCCATAGTCGTTTTTTACGACACCCAGGGTTCGGAACGGGGTTGGAACGATGGTTTCTCCTTCATTGTCATCACATGAAAAATTTGCTTTAACATTATAATATTAAGTACATACGAGTATAAGAACAGTATGTAACCTACGTGTAATATTTTAATACATTATCTCGCGGTTCGTAACGTAAGTAACGACCGCGGTAAGGCCGGGATGAGATTCAAGATGGCGCCGCTTTGAACACTTCTTAGCAGTCGCGTTGTGGCGAAGGGGTCTAAGCATGGAGAAAACGTTTTTTTTTTTAAATATAAGTTGATATTAGTTTAAAATACTGATAAAATTTAATATTTAGAAATGTACATCAATGTAATGTATGTCAAATAATAAATAAATTGTTTATTGTTACTCAATATATAGTCACGCATTACAGAAATTGAGGTAGCTCCAGTAAGTTATAAAATACTTGTGTTGGAACTACATAGCTGCTTCCATTAAAGCTACGTAATATAGAGAAATAATATTCAAAAGTGTGTGTGTATAAATAAGTTCGAAATTGACAATAACAACATTCTAATTTTGAATAAAATCTAAATGCTAAATAAAATGCTAATTAAATAAATACTTGTCAATTAGACAAGGTTCAAAAACAAATTTGACACGAAAGTCGATTATGTAATGGAATCTAAAAGTAATTACATAGTACATATGTATGGGTAGAATAGGAATATAATATTTGACGTAAATAAAAGTTTTGAACTATTTTCAAATTGCATGTAAGTATGTTTGTTTGCACTATTAATATTTCAGCAAACTTATGTCTAATTATTGGGTGCTGTTGGCAGAAAAAAGCCAGCAAGCGCTTGTAAGCAAAATGGCGATCGTAAGCGGTAAACGCTGTCAAATCGTTAGTATTTTCCTCTAGGTGACGAAGTTAGTTTTAACCGGGGAATCTAACCTAATTTAAATATATGTTTGTAAAGTATTCATATTAAAAACTTACCAATCATGAACTTTTAATAACATGTATAGCTGTCTATTCATGTCATTATATTACTTAAAACTAATATTGCACAAACAACTTATAAACTCTACCTCAAAACAAAAAAATTAAATAAGCAAAATGGCGGATTGTGTCAGCGCTACTTAAGTTAGCAAACGTGTCCTGGCCGAAAACTGTTTAGTTTCGCCATTATGTTTACAAGCGCTTTTTTCTGCCAAACGCACCCATTCTATCACCTTTTAAATTTATACTTAGAGAGAAAAAGTATTCGAATAATGACATTATATATGTATTGTAGCTCAACTAATTAGTAAGATGAATTGGCATATAGCTCTACGAACCGACAAAAAACAAGTGATTCCCAACGGAGTTACCCAATTGCACTGTAGTCGATGCATGTATAGACAGTCAACGGATGGAAGTAGCTCCGGACTATTCTTTGTGGCATTTCTAGTGGGGGGTTTATGTTAAGCAGCAGACTAATGAAGGGCTGTAACGATGATGATAGCACCTAAAGATGTTTTTAATGAAAAAAAGTCATGTAATGTAATGTAATTTATTTTTTACTCCTATTTGTAAAATAACAAAATGAAAAAGCTCTTTCCATTCAACAGAGCGGCGCTAGGAGTTATAATATCGCTGGTAGTTTTCGCGGGGGTTTTCTTGGAAGAAGGTGGGCGCGGGGCGTGGTGGTAGTGGGGTGGCTGCGTGATAACTCTCTACTTCGCCACTTATTTACATAATTACACATAATTCGTGTTGCGTTAGTTAGGTACGATCATATAAGAACGTCTCTCTTGAGTGCTATAACACGTAAGCCTATGAACAAAGATACTCTGTGGTTTATAGTTTTGATTATGATGTTTCAAGACCGGCTTATAATATATTAAAGTTAATTAAATTTAAAAGTAGAGTATCAATTTACTACATACTAATCGTGCTTAAGCACTAGGCATTAACTGTAAAAAAGAATAAGAAAATAAATAAAATATTGATGTCCACTATCTTCTCTTTTCATTCTTTATTTTTTCATCTTTTCTTTTTCATATATGATCACTGGCCTGTTATATTAAGAACGTGGTCTTTATAGTAGTACATATTTCATATCATACTATAATTTTTTAACAGTGAATCCAACCTTAAAATATATAAATATATATTATACGTGGTAGAGCCGTGCTGCAGTTATATTGAAGTATAGTTTTAGCACGAATGGGTCGACTCGACCGAGGAAGGACCACGCTCACACAGAATACCAGCGTAAAATAGTAGCTTAATACTGCTGTGTTTCATATGGTGTGTGTAGAGAATCGGAGACCCTTTTTACTGGAAACGAGGCATTCCATCTTAGTCCTAACGGTCCTAACGGCTGCATTTTGAATCGTAATTGAGGATAGATGTAGATTTCTATGGGCCACAC